CTCTTTTTGTCAGAGTACATCTTGCGTAGATGTAGCTCAAGTTCTTCCTGACTGACAACCAGACTTCGGTTGCTCGAATAGACCTCGGGCAAACTGATCCGTGTCCCTAAAGAATTTCTCTCGCTCCCTTTTGGTTCTTCGTCTGTTGTTACAGAAACGCTCAGCGCGCCAGAGTGCACTGTGTTTGTTCTTTAAATGCAACCAAACTTCGTACAGCCCCTCCCGTTCGCTGCCTGTAGCGGCTTTGAACCGTTTTCTGAGGGCATTCTTGTCTGCTCGACACTTCAGAATGTCCCTCTGCCTCCTGCTAGTATTCTGCTTGGCACCCGGCTGTGCCTTTACTACTGTCCCGGACTCGCGGGAGCAGTGTTCATATATTACATCATCAAATTTTGTAAGCTTGTCGTCTAGCGACTTCTTGTTTAAATCATGTTTAAGTACCTCACATAATGTAGCCTCCAACTTACACCACATCACCTTCTCGCTCGCAGGTGGAAACCTGATTCTGGAACGCACTTCTTCAGAAATCATCAAAAGTGCTCCTCCGCAGTCGACGTCATGGGCCTCTCCGGGCGAGTGGGGTTCACCCTGCCCGTCGTACCCTGACGACTCAGAAACTACCACAGGAGGGCCAACATAAACACATTAAAGGAATTGCTACATAGATTATTTAGTAAAGTCTGGGAGACCAAAGAAATACCAGCAGTCAGGAGAGAAGTGTATCTTGTGAAACTGTCCAAAAAAGGTGATAACATGAGTGTGAAAACAATACAGGAATTATGTTGCTGTTAGTTCCTGGAAAAATATTAGGTATAATTTTTGGGGGATAAAGAATAAAAGAATCTATTGTTAAAAGCTAAGAGATGAACAGGCAGGTTTTTGGCCAAACCGATCCTGTACTGACCAGATAGCCTCATTACGTATAAAGCATTGACAGCATTGATAGGAAATCTCTCTGGAAATTTGGGAGCACTATTGAATCCCACTGAGAATAAATATGAGAAACAAAATTAAACCAGAAATCAGCGATGAACAATGTGGATTTGTAGAAGGAAAAGGTACAAACAATGCCATTTACATCCTAAGGACATTGTCAGAAAGAGCTATAGAAGTAAAGACTGATTTGTACATATGCTTCATAGACTATACAAAAGCATTTGACTGTGATAAGCATTGAAGAAGTAATCAAACTGTTAGAAAATTAAACATTGATGGGAAAGATCTACGAATAATAAAGAATATGTATTGGCAGCAAACAGCAGCTATAAGAATTAACTACTGTTTAGGTACATTTCAAAGCATAAAGAGGGGCGTACGACAAGGATGTGTACTGTCACCTGATTTGTTTTCAATATACAGTGACTATATAATGAGAGCTTTAATTGGTATGTTGGTGGTCACAATAAAAACAATTTACGTTATGCTGATGACACAGTCTTGATAGCAACAAGTCAGAAAGAACTGCATGAAATGATAGACATTGTGGTGTTAGAAAGTGAAAGAATGGGCCTCAGTTTGAATAATGTGAAGACAGAAGTAATGGTGGTATCAAAGAAACGAATTATTCCTAAGTGTGTAATAAAAGTTGAATGTGTTATTTTGGGACAAGTACATAAATTTAAGTATCTGGGCACATGGATAACATCAGATGGAAGATGCATAACTGAGATAAAAAAAAAAACAGAATAGGACAGGCAACAACTGCATTTTATAAGATGAAAAACATCTCGTGCAATATATCCTTGTCATTGAGAGTTAGAAAAAGAATTCTTGCTTGCTATATACATCCAGTTTTAACATATGGATGTGAATCCTGGACAATCGGTAGGCAGGCCAAACAATTTTTAGAGGCCTCAGAGATGTGGTTTTACAGAAGAATGCTTAGAATACCTTGAAAAGCCAAAAAGAGCAACCAGGAGGTTTTGAAAGAGGCGGGAGCACGAAGACAACTTATCACAGACATCAGAATGAGACAGTCATTATTTTTTGGGCCATGTTATGGGAAGAGGGAAAATAGAACATGTTGTGACCACTGGAAATATCTGTGGAAAAAGGGATAGAGGAAGACAACGAGTAAAGATGCTTGACAGTCTTGTTGCATGGCATGGAGGTGTGTCAGCACACGAACTGATACATGCTGCAGGAGATCGCAGATTATGGAGAGGCATGATCGCCCACGCCAGTCGGCAAGGCACCTGATGATGATGATAATGGAATCCCACAGAAAATTATTGACTTAGTAAGGGCAACATATAAAGATATGAAATGTCGAGTTCCTAATGAGGGAAAGCTAACAGATACATTTGAAATAAAAACAGATGTGCGACAGGAATGTCTTTTGTCGCCTCTTCTATTTTTACTGGCTATAGACTGGATTATGAAGACAGTAACTGCTAACACCAAGAATGGAATTTAGTGGACCCTTACAAAACAGCTTGACGATCTAGACTTAGTTAATGATATATTTCTCCCCCCCCCCCCCCCCCCCCCCCCCCCCCACCTTTTTACGGAATGAGATGCAAGATAAATTAAATATACTTGATGCGAGATCCCAGCAGTTAGGTCTGAAAATCCATAAAGGAAAAACAAAAGTAATGAGAATAAATCAGGCATATAGTAGTGTGGTTTCTCTTAATGGTACCCCACTCCAAGACGTGGAGTCGTATACCTATTTGGGCAGTAATGTAGATACAGATGGGGGAACTAATAGAGATATTAAAATAAGAACAAAAAAGGATAGAGGAACTATCATAGCACTAGGGAATTTGTGGTCAAATAATAAACTTAAAATTTTTAATTCTAATGTCAAATCAGTACTTTTGTTTGGGGCGAAAACATGGAGAACAACTAAGGCAGTTACTAATAAATTACAGACATTCATTAACTGGTGCCTGCTCAGAATAGAGGGAATTTAATAGTATGATACAATAACCAATATAGAGCTTTCGGTGAGAACTAAACAAGCTCGAGTGGACCATGAGGTGATGAAAAGTCGCTGGTGTTGGATAGGACACACATTGAGAAAACCGGAGAACAGCATAACTAGAATGTCTTTGCATTGAAACCCACAGGGACATAGGAATAAAGGAAGGCAAAAAAAAAAAACATGGAGAAGAGAGCTGGAAAATGAAGTTGGAAAGATGGGAAGGACATGGGGAGAGCTTCATGCTATAGCGAAGGAAAGAACGACTTGGCATTAGCTGACTGAGGGCCTATGCTCCATTGGGGCAGAAAAGGGAGATGTCCTGGTGGGTTACAGCTGCCTACCTACCTCTAATAGTCATTGTAACTTCAACAGTGATAGCCTTTTCAATCCGTATGTGTAATAATTGGGACATATAGAATCTTTTTATATTTTGAAACTGGATATTTATATTTGTCAGTTACTTTTGGTTTTTTATTACTGCATGGATTATGTATTAATTTGAATACACTGTAAGAGTGTAGATTGTTCTTCTTCATCCCTTCTTTTTTAGTGCTTCGGATGTCCAGGGAGAAATAACATTCTAGTTCTTGCTCTTCTGTTTGCATCGATTATAGACACGTTCTGCTGATGTAATTTTTCTCTGATGTATTTTCCAATATTGTTCTTGGTCTACATCTTGCTCTATGTCACGCTGTCTCTTTTTTGGAGTATGCATTGTACGGTTTGGCATCGCAAATGGGCAAAATATTTAATTTGATGTCCGTTCTGTAAGGTTTTCTCTTATGTCTGTCTTATGTCTGAATTCATGATTTTTTTTTCATATAGTGAATCGATTGTCAAGTTTATTATTTTTTTTTTAAATAATGTGATACTGTTATCATATTGTGATTAATGATTAGAAAGCATTATTATCACAGCACTCCGTACAGATCCAAAGGTGCTCCGATCTCTCCTCAAAGCTCCACAAGTGTAAAACGACTATTTTGATAATGAAACGTCTTGTCCTCTTAGTGACATGTTCATTTCTTGCAGCTCCAGGCTGCACCCCCATGTCCTTCAGTCTAGACAGGGATATGGAGTCATGTCCTTTGGCGTTCTCCTCCGTACGGTAAGTGCAGCGCATGGCATTGATAACATTACTTCTGTGCAGTACTAGGCCAGCCATAGCAGCTGCAGTGTCAGTAAGATAGTCTGCACGCTCGTTCTCTTGAAAACCCGCATGACCTGGCACAAAGATGAAGGTTAGGGTAGATATTCGTGAAGTGCTTATTATTTCAATCTATTCTTGCCTGATAAATCCAGCTTGGATTTTTAAAGCATATTTATCGAGTCACTAAGAAAGCATACATGTGTGAACTTTTGAGTACCAAGCCATGCTAAAGCCCTTGTTACAGCCATAGTTTCCATTGTAAGGCTACTAGTTTTAACAGCAAAGGCGTCCTTCATCTCCTTGATGGTTCCTCCCCCCCCCCACCCCCCCCCCTCCCTGAAGGCTGTGAAGGCCCGTGCACTTCGCTTGCCCCTAATTACTGACCCATCTGTGTAAACTATAGCATCACCCTCATCTGTGTTTTCGTCAATCAGTGTTCTGACTAAAGTGTCAACAATGCAAGGAATCTGCTCTCTACAGCTTCCAGCAAATGTGATATGGACTGTAATATTAATATTTGGAGAGGGGGGTTTAATTATCTATTCATATCCAAAATTATTGTCAGTAAGGCGGCAAACACGTTCGATGGAATCCTCAGCCCGACCCATCCAGGATTTGCCTCGTTTAAGTCGACTCTAATCAAATCGTGTAATACATCAATGGAAATATCAAGTATATTGCGTGCCCAATTTTAAAACTAAAATTAGTTAGTTAGTTAGTTCGTTTATTCTGTCTGTCTACATGCCTATCTGGCTGCCTGCCTCTCTGACACCCTGCCTGCCTCTCTGACACCCTGCCTGCCTCTCTGACACCCTGCCTGTCTCTCTGACACCCTGCCTGCCTCTCTGACACCCTGCCTGTCTCAGCAGAAATTGAGACGAGAAACTGATACTGTTAAATCGAATCAAGAAAATGTGTGCTTACTCTGATTCCCGTCATTAGTTCCACAAATACCTCTAGCTTTGCTGATGTCGAAGGCAGGAGTTCTTATGTACACATTCATAACAAGTGGATAAAGATCAATCTTTATCTCTGACCCAGATAACAAAGTAATCTGTGGAGAAAAAAAAAATGACAATCTGAGAACTACTTATGTGACATTTAAAATGACATTATTCTATAATTTTACATTATTCAGTTAAATTGGATATTTTTGTTAAAGCTTTGGGTAGCACGTCTATGCCGTCTTCGAGGTCAGGACAGGAGACACCATAACCAACTTCTTATAGAAACAGTCAGTAGAGGTACCATGGTGTGGCTACTACATCGGAAGACTCAGCTTACATGGGCATACCCAGTGTGCAGTGATGTAGATTATGATAAAATAACACAAAAAAGCATTATATTGTTACAACCTCTTTTTACTATAAACAAGGAATATATGCTTATGTATAGCTTATATAGAAAGTCATTCAACAGATTCACAAAAATAGCACAACAGTGCGCTGTTTGGCCTTTGCATACTCCATGTTTACTGTTGTCATTGTTATTTGATCTGTGATACCTAGCAGTCTGCTATAAATAATTAATCTGCAGGCTGATTTTGTTATCAAATGACACTCCTGGTAAGTACCAGCTACTGCTTTCATTATCATTGCGGCCTATTTATTGACTTGTTCTCTTTTGTCACATAGACTGTCAATGGAAATTCAACGCAGATCAGAAAATATTCTTCTTAGCGCTCATAGGCAGTAAACGCTAGCCAACAGTTTCAGTTATTTGTCTACTTTTGGATTCTGGCCAACAGTTCTAGTTGTTTGTCTACTTCTGAACTTTGGTCTTACTCTAGAGCTTGAGTTTTGCATGCACATCCATTTTACACATCTGGCGTGTTTGTATGCAAACTATTGGCTCCTCACCTCTCAGGCAAATGAACTCTGCCTTTGATGGAAACACTCACTACTCGTCTCCTATGACATGCGTGTTAGCGGGCAGTGGGTATATTCTTTCTCCCCTCTAAAATGGGGTCCTTAAATACACTTAGGAAAAGAAAACATTCATAAGAAAACAAATGTTCCTCTAACACATCTGATCTTGTCTGTGTGTCTTTCTGTTTGTCTGCATGTCTGATGTGACTAGGTTTATTTCTGCTTGTTTGTCTGTGTGTGTCCCCGTATGTGTTTGTCTGCATGTTTGTCTGTGTATGTTTATGTTTACCGTTTGTTGACCGTGTGTGTCTATGTGGCTGTATGTATGTGTCTCTGTGTGTGGGTGTCTGAATGTTTGTCTGCGTGAGTGTGTGTGTCTGCGTGTGTCTGTCTGTGTGCGCGTGTCTATGTGTGTGTCTGTCTCTATGTGCGCGTGTGTCTAGTGTATTTATCAACGGGTGTCTTTGAGCGTGTATTTGTGTGTGCCTCTTTGATGTGTGTATCTGTCTGCATGTCAAAGTATATGTCTGTGTGTGCTGTGTAAATGTGTCTGCGTGTGTATTTCTATGTGTTTGTCTGAGTGTGTGTGTCTGCGTATGAATTTCTGTGTGTTGTCTGTGTGGGTGTCAGTATGTGTTTGTCTGCATGGTTGTCTATATTTGTGTGTGTGTGTGTGTGTGTTTGATTGCGTGTGTGTCTATGTGGCTACATGTTTGTCTGCGTGAATGTTTGTGCCTGCGTATGTATATGTGTGTGTGTCAGTGTGTGAGCATGTATGTATATATGTCTGCTGTGTGTCTCTGTGTGTGTGTTTATATGTCTGTGTGTGTCTTTTGTGTGGTTCCCACACCCCTCCCCGCCCCTTCCTTTTCTGTTCCTCATTTACATGGCTGATACAAAAAAAAGTTGTAGGCACAACTGAAGTACATTTGGGAAAAAAAAGGACAAAAAAATCAAAAGTTTGTGTTACTTGATAACTGGGGACTTACAAATGTGCTATGAATAATACACCCCTGTGTTCATTTTAAATAAGTGTATAGCTTAAGTGAGTTTGAGGTTTTACTGTAGTACAGTATCAAATTACATGAAAATCATAAAAACAAAGCCATGAAGATGCATTTTGTGAAGTTATGGGATATGACAAACACCCCTGTTATGGTCCAAAAGGTTGAACTGGACATTTTTTCACTAATAAGAAATGAACCTACACCGATATGATGTCCATTCTGTGACCTCATCACTACAGCTCCCTCTGCGAGATTGTAAGGAATAGTAATAGTTGATGCGTATAGATTGCCTGGTTTATCACAGCCATAAACTCTGAAACATCAAACAAAAACAAACTATTGGAGTTGTTACATTAACTAAAAAAGCAACAGAGTTGTGAGTTAGGAATAGTCATTATAGCACGCTGTACGTTCCCAAAAGTGCTCTGTCTCCATCTTCAGCGGTAAGTTCTAATTCTGATGGTATCGCTGAGTGAGGAGCGTCCAAATCGCCAGGTCACTCCTCATTGCACCATTCTCTTCAGACCATAATGATCTGTTTCTGCCTCTGGACGGTTTACTCGCTCTCAAAGGGCATTTACAACACCTAGTTTGACAAGCATCATTTTACCACCAAGTGATGCAGAGCCAGCTGGTCTAACAACATGCTCTGTGAGTCAGTTATAACCTCAACATTGTGTGCAGCTAGTTCTCAAGCCTGTGGACGGATATAATGACCGCCTTCACGTCCATTCTGAAAATAGATGTTGTATCCTTTGTCAGGCTTTGTTGCACTAAGAGGTGTCAAAGCCTGTGGAAGGCTACAATGACCGCCTTCACGTCCATTCTGAAACTAGATGTTGCTGTATCATGTGCCAGGTTTTGTTGCTCTGAGCGTGTCCAAGCGTGTGGCAGGAGTCTTGCATTAGAATCCATAAAACAAGCACAGGGCGGGCTGGTGCCTGAGGTGAGGTACGCCGTATTTTCTTACGTAGATCACAACAGTCCTAACTTTCCCTTACTCTTGTGACTGATAATAACCACGCTACACATGACTGGTTTTAAAAAAATTACCTTTAAGATGCTCTGTATATTTTAAAAAAAAACAGAACACTACTGGAAAAAATAATGGTGAGTAAGACAAGAGGGCATCAAAAGAGAAAAATAATGATTTAAGTAGGAAAACAGTCAGAAGATATGACATAACTATGGAACGAGACTGTGACGAGACTGAGGTTGATAAAGATTAAATACAATTGACCGTCAATATGAAGGTGATTATTGGCTTGCTCTTATTAAGTACAAACCTGATGATGCTGTTCTGTTCTCTAACAACAACCCCACAGATGCAAGTGACATGGTTATTCCAGCAGTTCCAAGTTTTCACTTGAACCTGAAAGTTTCTGTCATCTACAGTGTACACAATGTACTCTCCAACCTCATAGAAATGATAGCTGTGTCTAAATGTGGGCAGATTCAAATAGTTGCATTACATGAATACACATCAGCAACAAATAACTGAATATATATATTTATTGAAAAACCACAAACATAGAAAATTTGGCTATAGACAGTGAAACAGGGCCTCATCTAAAATAATTGGAAGATAAAATTACCAGTAATGTCAAAAAATGGACCATACCTGAATACAAAATTTAAGTTAATGATGATTTATTTGGAACAAGACAGATAATAACACTTGGAGGCTGATAGATAATAACACATGGAAGCTGATAGATAATAACACATGGAAGCTGATAGATAATAACACATGGAAGTTGGATAAAAAATAACATGTGCATACAGATCCCACATTTTACCAAATGAAGAACATCTAATGCACCTTAAAGGTTAGAAAAACAAATTCTTGCATCTTAAATAGAACCTCCATGGCCGAAGGGATTAGTCTTTAGCCTCCTATGCCAGAGATTGCAGATTTGTGTCCATTCATAAGCGAATTTTTCTGGGAGCTCCATGACAAAGTGTTCAAAGCCGTTCGCATTGCACTCTGAAGGTCATGGGTTCATTTCACAGACTGTGTCGCTCTGTTCATAGGCACAATGTTTATGGAGATATATGGGGATTGCCACTGGATCTGCAAAGTTACTTCTTTTAGAGACACGTTGTCAGGCAGCTATTCCGTATTCAAATAGGATAAAAACCATGTGCAATAAACTTCTCTTAACATTAACTTCAACATCATCATCATCCTTTGTGTGCCGTGAGACGTGACACAGGGCTCAGATTCAATTCCCCCACTCTGTTCTATTGCATGCATCTCTCTAGATTTTTGACATAGAGTTTAGCCCAGCATATTTAGCCTCTCGTAATAATGTTCTTCCTAATCTTTCCCTTGGACGCCCTGTTTTTCTCAGACCGTTTGTTTCCCATTTCAGTGCTTGTTTTGCAATTCTTTGCTCATTTCATTTCAGAGTGTGCCCCATAAATCTCCACCTTCTTTGTCTTAATTCAGTTCATACAAGTATTTGTCCAGACATTTCTATGATCTCTTTAGTCTTTTTAAATTCATCCCATTGAATGTTTATTATTTTCCTCAGACATTTATTTTCAAATGCATGTAACTTTCATTTAAAATGTTTGGTTCTCCAACCTTCGTTGGCTTTTGTTGGAATTGAAATAACATCTACTTTAACGTAGACCCAGTTTAACACAGGGAAATGAATCAAGAATAATAATCTTTTTTTTTTTAAAACCGTGACATACTTTTACAGAATAATGCTGACAATTCATTGGACAGCCAAACTAAGCATAAGTCTAAAGGTTATATGTCACCTAGTTACGGAGCTGAGTGGTGTGACACTGCAAAATATGGATTTCACGAGGAATGGATTTATTCTGTTGTGCCCACGGCGGCATTGTGTTGTGACTGCACTGAACATGGAGGGCTGCCAATTACATTCAGGCATTCATGACTGACTGCTTGCATCAACAGTGGGCTGCATTTCTTTTAGGTGACAGTTAGTGTTGGCACATCTCATGGCTGTCTTACGCATTTAGTTTGCACGTGCGAGCTGAATGCAAGGTCTTTCTGCGACTGATAAGTTGTGTTTTAATAGTTTCTAAAATGGTACATTGAAGAACACTTTGGGTGTTGTCCACTGGCACGGAAATGGAGCAGCCGTGGTGCAACCTGTGTGCAGTGAAGTTGGAACCTCCACTAACGAGGCGCGGATAGATAATAAAACATGGAAGGTGATAGATAATAACACATAGAAGCTGAACGATGGATTAAAAAAAAAATAACATGTGCATACAGACGCCACATTTCATCAAATGAAGAACATTTTATGCACCTTAAAGGTTAGAGAAACAAATTCTTGCATCGTAAATGTGCAAACTTTAAGTCAGAAGTTGTTCAAGCTGGCTAAACATTTACCAGTGTAAACTACTAGAAGTGACTTTCTGACAGTGTGGCTCCAAGTTCTCACCTGAAAGAGATTACTCACTGAGACATTCAATGCAAACATAGACTACTCACTTGTAATCAAATCCTGTAACGTGGGGGTCACCAGTGAGGGAACATGCAAACCCTGCCTCAATTTTGACTGTCACCTGAAACATTAAACTTTTGCTGTTACCAGTAACCTTATTAACAATGGCTAACTGGTCATTCTTGTGTATAGGCACTAATCCTGTCAAATTTACTGTCAATGTTTTCGATGCAATGTCCTGAACCGAATTACACCGGAGGCAAATAAAGACTGATGAAATCAATAAACTTTTTCTTGCAGATGACAGAATCTAAATCAGCATAGTTACTACTTATGTTATAACTTCATACAGTTGAATGTTGAATTAAGAATCGACATCACAGCACTCGGGACAACCCCCATAAGTGTTCCGTTCCCATCTTTCGCAGGAAGCAAAGAGTTATGGTACAAGTAGCTGTCTGCTTGTATATCTGTCTCGTCTTTCCCCTGAGTTTTATTCACACAGTACAACTGCAAAAGTTACACTTCAAAAACTGATAATTAGAACAGGTAGAAAACATAACACAGGCATCCTTGTCAGTTTACTACAGTTAAACAAGTACAGTAAGCATGATACTTAGGAAACAAATTTACAGAAGATGGTAGACATGACTAAGAGTTATGAGTTGGGTCAGATTACTGGCACTTTAGACTTGTCCACGGATAATCACATTGCCCTTTTAGCATACGAATCAGTGACCCATGGTCAATAATGCTGATCCTATGTTGGTTGACAAGACTTCTTGTACATCCAGTGTGCCTCTCGTGCCTGGATGTGCCGATTTTGACTCTCAATTCTCACAGCACTTTGGACCCCTGTTCCTGAAAACCTCGACAGAGAGATATAGAGTAAAGAAGGCAAATGTGGTCACCTATCAGCTAGGAAGTAGATAGCAAATAGCAATTGTATTTGAAAACAACATCTATTCTTGTGAATATTATTGAAGAGGAAAATACCAAAAGTCACGATCTTATTTCATGGCAACACTTTGTGAAATATTGTCTGCCCAGTGGACCCTGGGCCACCCAAGTGGTCACCGATGTCAGCCTTGGTGACTGATTCTCTCCTATTCTGCATACATGTCCCAACAATTGTAACTGTGACTGATCCACCCGAGTTTGTAAAGCCTTGGTTTCAAGATAATAAGGTTGTGAACTTTGTCCTTTATAGTCACTTGGGCCACTTTACTCACATACCTCATTTCTGAGGCCTTAAGCTGGCTTCTGCAAGCTGTTGTGATTGCCATGACTCGCACCCACGGGTCACAACTGGCACGTAATATATAGCCACTGTTGTCCTCTTACTAAATTCTCGCACTTTTATCTAAATAAATAAATAAAACAACAGGAAACGATCTTACTCATCAAACATATGAAAAAGTCACATGGATAAGAAACTACGAATATAAATTAAAATGAGACAGAAAATCAATTTAAAAAAAAAAAACTAAGATGAAGGTATGCTAAATAATGATCCTTGCAGAGCTGAGAAATTCTAAACTATTAGAAAAGTAGTTTTGTTTATAAGTCTACAAACGATGTATGTAAATTTGTGGTCATCTTGATTCTTTAATTTTTTCCTGCCACTTATCTCACGCTACCCTATTTATGGAAAACGACTGTGATAGATTTCAGTTTTCCCCTCATGTGAAAAGTGTCACAGAAAATCTTCCAAGATGAGCTTTACTGTTTATTGCAGAAAAACAACTCACAATGGGCACTAGCAATTTCTCAGCTATTGCTCCTAAGACTAGCACAACTTACCTTCACAAGTGGAAGTATGTGTTTACCAAAATACTGATGTATCGACCAGTGCCAGGCGTCAAGATCGCAATAGAAAATGCTGTTGTTTTAGACCCAGCGCTGACAGAATTTCTGACTGGTACCAACGTGATCTAAAGAAACCAAAATCATGCTGACATATAATACGCCGGTACGATGATTACAAAATTAGGGCATAGGGGAAAATGAAGAGAAAACGGGGGGGGAGGGGAAGGGGCGGTGGGTAAATAAAGCTGTCGCAATAACAACCTAGAAAACCCTGTCCCTGGATGTTGCCTTCTAGGTACAGATAAACTTGTTCTGGCTTTGTGGAAAGAAAGAACAAAGTTGAGACGGCTTTGGTCTGGTTTATCGTGACTCCCCACGAGTCTGTCCATTTCTTAACTGTATGTATAGCTACCTGCATTCTTGTTTTAGTTGTTCCTATATGTTCAGCTTGAGTCCATATGGCCAGGTCATCTGCATGTAGCGCCTTGTGAATGGGAGTCGTGAACTATTTTGAGAGGTCTTTGATGAAAAGAATAAACAGGGTAGGAGATATAACACCTTCCTGGGGGACACCTTATGTAGCCTGACCAACTTGCTTTTGTAATCTTCCAGTCTGATTCTCTCACAGCGTCTGTAAAGGAAGTCTCTAATCCAGGCAAACATATTCCTTTTTTATCCCACAGTGTGCTTGTTTTAGCAAGAGTCCTTTCTTCCAGACCTTTTCGAAGGCTTTGGTCAGGTCAAAGAAAGTAGCTAGCAGTTTGTATTTTTCTGGAAAGCATCTTCAATTTCCTGTGCGAGATAAGAGGTTTGGTCATCAGTGCTTCTGTATCTCCTGAGGCCTAATTGGCTGTCATCCATTATCTTGTTTTCTTCTAGAAAATTAAGTAACCTGTTGTTCACTAATCTTTCCATGGTCTTTATAAGGCAGCTTAGGAGGATTATGGGGCGGTAACTGTGAATCCTGGACAATCGGTAGGCAGGCCAAACAATTTTTAGAGGCCTCAGAGATGTGGTTTTACAGAAGAATGCTTAGAATACCTTGGACAGCCAAAAAGAGCAACCAAGAGGTTTTAAAAGAGGCGGGAGCCCGAAGACAACTTATCACTGACATCAGAAGGAGACAGCCATCATTTTTCGGCCATGTTATGAGAAGAGGGAAAATAGAACATGTTGTGACCACTGGAAAGATCTGTGGAAGGAGGGATAGAGGAAGACAACGAGAGAAGATGCTTGACAGTCTTGTTGCATGGCATGGATGTGTGTCGGCACACGAACTGATACATGCTGCAGGAGATCGCGGATTATGGAGAGGCATGATCGCCCACGCCAGTCGGCAAGGCACCTGATGATGATGATGAACTGAATTTGTTTTTCTTGGGCTTTCCTTTCTTGGCTATGGGAACTATTTGTACTGCTTCGAGTATGATTTTGGTAAGAGTTGTGGTGTTTTTCCTAACCTCATTTGTGGGAAAGGGCTCCGATACTTTCTTTTGAGTTAAGTTTTGGTAGAGATCCCAGTCTGCTTTCTTGTAGCTCCAGCTGGCTATCTTCTTCTTATTTTCTGGAGGCTTGACACCTCCTATCATGACGATGACTTGTTTTTGATCACTTCCTCCCAGCTGTTTCATAACTTCTCTGTCTGCTCTACGTTGGATGTTTTCTGTAGCTATAGCTAGGTCCGGTGTACTTTATGTTCGCCATCGTCTAGATTAGAATGTTGGTTCAGAGCCAGGTTCATTTATTAGTATCAGCAGGTTTTTTACCATCCATTCCTCTACCTCTTCTCCTCTTGCGTCCATAGAAGCATAGTCCCAACTAGGGGAATGACTGTTGAAGTCACAAAGAACTATGTTGCTCTTATCAGCTACTTGGATGTATTCTAGTTGTAATTTATTGTTGTTGGGACAGTAAAAGTTAATAACTTGTAGCGGCTCAGGAAGTATATGCAGTTTTATAGTCGGATATTCAGACTCACTGATGCTTCTTGAAGTTTATGTGGCTGCAATAGTATTTTTAACTAATCTAATGATGCCTCCTTTATGGTCATCTCTGTCTAGTCTGTATGTTTCATAGCCTCTGACAGAAAAGCGAGAGCATATGTTTAAATGGGTTTCCTGAATGCAGACAACATCAATATTGTGTTCATATATGAGTTTTTGCATTTCGAGCTTTTTCATCATGACACCTTCTGCATTCCATTGCATTATCTTTAGTGTTTGGGGTTTTTTTTTTTGTGTGTGTGTGTGTGTGGACAGAAGCATTACTCTGCTTAATCCTGGTCCGCCGATGAGCAGAGCTACCGTCAGTAGTTTGGGGTGGATTCCCTCGAGGCTCGGAATCCGGCGCTGCTCCCGCCTGGCAGTAGTCCACAGAAGCAGCCCCATAACGGTGTACGTATCTAAGCATACTCATTAACCGTATATTGCGTTGATGTCCGTTTCCATTTCTGGGTGCACACGCCATTCAGGCCGACATGTTCGTCTTCGGTGGGTGAAGTTATGGAGTCTTCCTATCCGTGTCCTAGTTCATCCAAACACTGCCTCCCAGAAATCAGAGGTTGTGGGAGTTTCCCTTCTCCGCATTTTATTATCCAGGGTGGACTGCCTGGGTGTGACCTTGGTGGGGATCCTGACATGTCAATGCGCCGGTGGGCCCAGCATCGGCCGCATCTTACGGGGGGGGGGGGGGGGGGCAGGGAGGTCACACTCCAACGAGGGTTCTGTCTGGCTTACCCCAGCCATGGCCTGGTATTTTACCCCTTCGGGCTCTGGGGTTCATTTTGTTAGCGATGGAGACTCGCTATGGGCCAGAGCCGTGTCTGTTACAACAGGTAGCACCACGTGTAGGTACGGATGACTTGATTGGCAGAGGCTTTAAGTTACGCGCAGGCATTTCCCACTTTTTAGGTGGGACCTGTACAGACCAATCCTTGCTACCCGCAAACACATTCACAGGCACATGCAGACACGCACACACACAGATACACATGTAGACACATACACACATTCATCCACGCACACACAAGCACAAACACACACATATACACAAACAAACACATATACATAGATACACACACACAGACACCCAATACTAAAACACGCAGACAGAAAGATACCCACACACAAACACACACAGACACAAACACAGAGACTCACACGCAAACTCACAGGCAGTCTTGCACACGTAGACACACATGCATACAAACACAGACTATCGCTCACAGACATATACACACAGACACATACACACACAGACACACAGAAAACACTCACGCAGACACTCACACACACACATAGACACACACACAAACATAACAAGGCGCACGCCCACAGAAACAAACACACACAGACATGTAGACACAGACACGCCTACACAGAGACATAATCACATACAATCCTACAGACACACACACACACACACAGTCATACGCACATGTAGACATACAGGCACACATACACACATTCACGCAACAACTTATACAATTACCGATACACGCACTCATACATACACAAAAACGCCTACACATACACACATACATACCTCACATTTACATGCCGCACATACATACATATCGTACACACCTTTTTAAATTATAAATTGATAATGCAAAACGGATTAATAGTTACATTTAGAGTGGCATATAATCACTTGTAAGCATGAAATGAAAAAGTTTGCGGTTGAATGAATAGGAACTTTTTGTATTTTTTAGACCAAGTGGTAGCTAATTCCATAAATAAGCAGCAGAATATGCTAAACTTGTTGTAAATAAATCTTTTCTAGGTTTAGATTTAGGTAAATGTAATAAATTTAGCCTCTTGCTGTTCGTAAGATTAGATTTAATCAACTGGAAAAGGTAGTTTAACTTTGTTGAAAATTAAACGTTTACTCAGTGGCAGAAGTCTTAGATGGCTATAGAGAAGATTTTTGTCGGTACATTTTCTATCTGAAACCATGCAAAAAGCGCGATTTTTAAGGGAACTGAGTCTTTTAACATTATATTTTTCCAGTTCCCATGTACCCAAAATATGGTCGAAAAAGAGGTCTCTATATGATGTTTGTAATAAGTTGTCTTTAGCCCTTGCCTTGTACAGAACATCTGGTTTACTTTTTTTGGCTGACCAAGGAGTTTTAAACTTTCTTCTGTAAAAACACACCTCTTAGGCTTCAAGAATTGCTTTAGCGAATGTATTAATTTTTGTTTTTGTTTTTGTTAGCATCCATTGTTAGCCACCCTGACTGTCCACAGCAAAAAAAAAAAACGTTCAGTCTCAAGCGGCGTCCGTGGCAACGTCGTTTCGAGTTCGACTCGTAATTCCAACGTACCGCGATCGAAACCCACTGCTGGCTGCGTGGGTATTTATCATGGTATGGGGCCTCGCGGGTCTACCCAGACTAAAAATGGGTAGCAGGATGTATGTCCAAGGAAGTAAAGACGGCCGACATAATGCTGACCACATTAGCCACCTAGTGCCGATTAGTCTGTAAAAATATGGGTGCTCTTCCCATATGCCCAATGCACCAAAAGACGTAAAAAGGGATCTTTATTTACTTTACTTTCAGTCTTAGATCTGCAGCCTCCAAGATTGTCCTGATTTGTTCACTCACATTCGCAGGTTCACTGCTACGCAATTCAACTAGCAAATGAACGAAATAATGAATGAAGAAATAAATCAATAAAGAAATGATTCTTTTCAAAAACAAAACAAAAAAGCAATTTCTTTAGATGGTTTTACCTTAACAGTGTAACTTCTTGTCTGTGGATTCCAATCAGCTGAACAAATTTTATGCTCACAAGTGTTCTTGAAAAATACCACTAGATGGAGAAAAACCAAGCGCATGTATCTAGCGATGTTCGAGTTTGACCAGTGTGCTATAGATCTGATTATCCATTTATGTTCAGATTTATGCAATTTGAAGGTGATAATTGTTTGCCATTTTTGTTGATAGTGATAACTGTTTGAGAAAGGAAATCAAATAACATTGGCTCGGACAGATATAGTTACAGCAACTAGGAAAGAGTAATATACGAGCCGACTCCTGGACGGTACAAGGTGCCAGCTCCGTTCATGTTTAAACAGACATGTCATGACAGAGGTAAAAGCTCGGTTAAGCCAAAGATGTAGCTGCTGACAAGAGGAATCAGTCAATCAGGTTCTGTTACCACTTTCAAGGTGTTCTTCAGTGGATCTCTAATACCCTTCTTTTCTTGGTTTTACACTTTCTCAGCAATACAACAATAACATAATGTGTTTGGTTTATGGATAACACTTCTTTAGATGGGTTGATCGGAATGGTCATGCTCGCTATGGAAGTGGGATAAGATTGTCGTGCTTTTTAGGACACTGTTGCCATGTTCGATATGTTTGCGACCGACGTATAGTTCATGCCCTAGCAACAGCGTGAACGCACGATATACACCAGAATACACTGAAGGGTCTGGAATCCGGGACTGTAGATGTCATATCTCTCTAGGGCAGTGGAGCATAACATCTGTTTTCGCTTGAGTGCTGGATCTGGCCCTATCGGTACTCAAACTGGTAGGGTGAAAGGGATACCCTCAGGTCGCAAGTCCCTTAATCAAATTTACCATTTTACAGTAAAGACCGTTGTGCGTGACCGAAGAGCACAATGCACGAAGGATCTAGAGAAGACAACCTCGAATAAAAAATACCTAAGCCTAAGGTGGACCTACGTGCCAATGGGCGGAATGGCTGGGGGTTATGCAGTCAAAAGCGTGGAATGTCTTGTTAATGGGACTGGCGGCATCAGGCATATGGACTCCTTAGGAACATCCCTTGCCTCTTCCCTAGCAGCGCAGGCAATACTACGGATTTTGTATTTAAAACTAAAAGATTCATCGCCGGAGCTACGGAGTTCCTGCTCTGTACTCGACACCATCTTCAGCGAGCAACCGAGAGAGCGGGAAGGGGAAAAGACAAGGGAATGGAGAGAGAAGAAGGCATAGAAATAGGACAGCGGAAGCCAAGAGAGTCACACGAAAATCGAAACTCCTTGGGTAAAAATATATTAGAGTGGGTTGCTAGATTTGTCCCAGTGCCAAGTAAACGGGCATGTAATAGAGAGGCTGATTTGTTACTTAGATGTCCTCACGGCTCAGGAATTAAATTCATATAGATTAGAGTGTCCTGTATACACCAGTTATATAAATCCTACTGGGCGAGGAAGACATGGGCAATGTCTGTTGGGGAAGAACGAGGTGAAGCATTGATGCTTGACCTGGGCTAGTAGAATGACAGTACAACAAGGGTTCGGGATTTACATATAGATAACGAGGGCACAGCTTAGAATTTAGTAAATGTTTATGCTGCTGTTGACTCGCTTGGCACAAAAGACCAGTGGACTGGTTTAAAGAGTTAGAGAAAATCTCTGGCAATAGGTTTCTCATTTGTGAGAGTGACAACATGCCATGCTCAGTCTCTATTTCCAAAGCTAACAAGATTAGGGCTTTAAGAACACATATGACCTTTAAGTATGAGAGGGTCAATACCCTTCTTATATGCCTTCAGCAAAAGGTAACAGGACCTTTCTTTTTGCATTTGTGCAGCCTCCATGGTGGACCCAGGAAGTCGATCAGGCATGGAAAGAAAAGACTGCAGCAGTAAACGATTACAGAAAGTGCGAAAGTCACCTTAAAAGTTACAAGAAGAGGTAGACAAGGCAGAAAAGGTTAAAAAAAAAAAAAAAAAAAAAAAAAAAGAGAGGAAAAGTGGAAGACTTCAAGCGGTATGCAGCAGATGCGAAAAAATGTGGGAAAATTATTTGAATCAAATAGGAGGTAATAGATCGTTGGGTCGGTTTTGAAAACCTCGCAGGCAGATGAGAAGAATGGATCGGCCTCTCACAATAGTCATTATACACACCAATACCAGTATACCCATGTTTATAGACAAAGATAAGGGGAAGCATTTTCGCAGAGATTTATAGCACAAACTGATCATAATAAAAGGGAAAGTAGACAGGCAGTTAGGAATAATTTATCGAATACAATTAATGATAATTATTATCAAGAGATTACTAGTGTAGATGATAAAACATATCTTGCAGAAAGCAAAAGACACTGCGGAACCAGTTAGGATGCGAGCAATGAAGATTTGAGGGAGATGGCTTTCTACTTCAACGAGAGCATCAAAGAAGAGTCAGTACCCAGGATTGGGTGCACAGCTATTTAATACCTCTTCCAAAACCAGGCAAAGGTCATTCGAGACTCAGCGGTTTCAGGATTATCACTCTTCAAAATACTTTTGGCAAGTTGCTGGAGACAATTATTACTGTTAAACAGCTGACTTTTTTTTCAGAAACGAATGAGCTATTGCTAAGAGGTTTAGGCAGTTACCGGCTAGGAAAAGATACATTTTCCTTTCATGTTTATGACAGGTTCTAGAATAGACAGGACAGGCGGTGGTGACGATGCATGATCTTGAGAATGCTTACAGTAGAGTCAGATATATTTTGAAATTTACGCTCTTGGAGAAGGAAGTGTGTCCCTGCTAGTGAACTGGATAGCAGCTGTCCTGCATTCATTTGAAACAAAGAATGTTGTTCACATTGCTTTAGTATTCGATCCTGTCGGTGATAGATTATGGACTTGGAATGCTTACCATGTCAATGAGTCAGCTGATGAAACTTGAACACATACACAATTAAGCCATGCGGGTAATCCTGCGATTTACAGGAGATAATATGATAGTATGTATGCAATGTATACTTGCACTGCTATTCCAGATAGACTCAAGGCTCAGAAAGCTATGTCATTTCTCAGAGAAGCCACAGATAAGAAGCACCCCCTGCATGAAGCCCTAGACAGAGCTAAGGGTCAAGCATTGAAAAGATAAAGGTCTTGGATGGTGCAAGCTGAAGACAAAATTAGACGTGTGTAGGCCTGACAATATTGGGCGAGGAAAAGAATGCCCCAGCAAAAATCAAGACTTGTGTAGGGTTCTGATCTCACTGGGCTGTGAGTGCAGGGACTGGCCAGCGGGCGCTGCAGAATCATAAGTTTGACAAATGATTGATGACAATTCTCACCCAGGTGATGTGTTAATCTTTACAAATAGCACTGTGTTGAGAGGGAGACGACGATCATAGGGGTTTTTAGCAGAAATGAATGGACGTCGTTTAGTGCAACAAAGCCAGGCATATGACTCCACAACATCTAGCTTGAGAATGGAGGTGGAGGCAGTCACTACAGCCTTTCGCTGGCCTGAGAATTTCCTGTACATACATATCGTAATAGACCGATATGTTACGTGAAGAGTGGCACGCATTGTTTCAGAGTCCCCGGGTATATTTTCGCCAGGAAATGCTGGTGTATTAGGAATGAACAGGCAGAAGACTGTCTGGTTCTGCACAACTTGGTGGTGAATGATACATGAGAAGCTAGATGTTGTAAGGGTCCTTTGGGGGCGAGTAAGTACGGAAGCACGGATTGATCATCGTGGTCTGTAGAGGTACTGCGAGGAGTGACCAGGTGATCGGTTCGACGATCAGCATTCAAGGGACAGGTGAGACAAATATACAATCATACCGCTATTGGTACCATTGGAATTGGAATTCTGCTTGCTGCTGAAGATGGGGACAACTGCTGTGATGTCAATTCTTTATTAAACATTAAACATTTAAGTATTTCCCTTTTGATTTGTAGTCTTTCTAGAACCTCTGACGATTCTTATGTTTAATGTGTGTGTTTTATTTAATCTCTGTTGATGTCAATAATTTGTGCATCTTATTAAAGATAGTTTTAGTCATTCCTATTCTCTCATTTTTTTTTTAAATATTTCTGTTTCACCTGCCATCATCTGTTATTACATGTCCAAGATAGGTAAAACTTGTTACATGTTCTAATTTCTTAAAGTTTACTGTGATATTCTTGTTTGGTCGCTCTTTTCCATTGTTAATTTCCACAGTTTTTTTTTTTTTTTTTAAATGGTAATGTCTAAACCAGACTCCACACTCTGCCTATTTTGATCCCTTAGGTCGTGTAACTCCTGCTCACATTCTGATAGCACTATGACATCAGCATATTTCAGACTTTATTGCTCTTCCAATAATTTTTTTTAAAAACAATTCTTCAGATTGTTTACGACTGTTTTCTGTGTCCTCATCTTCATTCATCATCTAGGGCTGTGTCTTGCCGCCTGGCGTGGGTAATCATGCCTTTCCACAATCTGCGATCTGAAGCTGCGTGTATCAGTTTGTGTGTTAACACCCCTCTATGCACTGATAAAATGCCGTCAAGAATCTTATCATGTTCTCTCTCTCTCTCTCTCTCTCTCTCTCTCTCTCTCTCTCTCTCTCTCTCTCTCTCTCTCTATCTATCTCTCTCTCTATCTATCTCTATCTCTCTCTCTCTCTACAGATCTTTCCAATGGTCACAACATGTTCCATTTTCCCTCTTCTCATAACATGACCAAAAAAATGATAACTATCTTTCTGATGTTTGTGATAATTTGTCTCCAAACACTCTTTTTTCAACACATCTGAATTTGTCTTTTTTAGGCGTCCAAATAGTTCCAAGGATTCTTCTGTAAAACCACATTTCCAAGGCCTAAAAACATTTTTCGGCTTGTTTATTAATTGTCCTGGATTCAAAGCCGTATGTTCAAACTGGTTCTATATTTTTTTTTCTTTTCCTAACCTCCAATGACAGGGATTTATTGCATAAAATATTCTTCATTTTATAAAAAGCAGTTTTGTCTTGTCCTTTTCCGTTCTTTATCTCTGTGACATATTTTCTATCGGATTTCATCAATGTGCCTAGAGACTTAAATTTCTGTACTTGTTCCAAAACAACGCCTTTGACTTTTATTAAACATTTAGGCACTATTTTTTTCTGAATATATGTTGAAAAGGCTCGGGGATAAAACACATTCTTGACACACTCTTCTTTTGATTTCTATATGTAGTGAGACAATGTTATTGTGTTGCAAGTGAATGCATGCGAGTAGATTAACAGTTCAATGGCTGGTAACATCTTTTGCTGATCAAACGTCAAGTCAAAATATTATTTCATATCACTAGATATGATTATGCCCATTCAAGGTTAATATATTAGCCCAGACACTGAGAAGAAAGATCTGATCATGTTATTAGTCTGTAATTACTTTCAAAAGTAATACAAACGATGCAACAATAAATCCTCTTTATCACCAACTCCTACTTTTCGCCACTGCGCTTTGTGGAGAGGGATGTTTGGGGTCAGAGCTTGACGAGTGACAGTCAGTGGGGATGTCTGATAAATTTGCACGTGTAAGCGTTAGCAGATAATAATTACACTGGAGAAGGTATC